TTGTTAAGTTGGGATTATAGAGTTGTTTTGGGATTAAAAACTTTAAAAATGTTATATTCATGATATTTTTTGAAAAATGATATGTTGATGATTTAGTTGTGTTCATTTTTGTGAAAATAAAAATGTGAAATGTGGGCTTTTGAACTCATAACTTTTAAAGTGTTACTCTTGGGCATATTTCATAATTTTTGATGTAAATATCATGTTGGTTAGGTAATTTTAGAAAAAGTTGTGAAATTGTTATTTGTAGAGATTTAGGAAAAATTGGCTAGGCATGAAATGTGGATGTATTTGAGAGTTGAGACATGTGAAGTTAAGTTTGGTGTTATTAATTTGGAAGATGGTGAAAATAATGAACTTACTAATTTGATGAATTAAATTAGTTTGGCTAATATTTTAAATTCTTTGTAATTAAAGGGGTGTTATTGGATTTAATTCCCAACTTTAATATTATGAGATTAAAAGTGACGAAGTTGACCAAGTATGAGATTTGGAGAAATAAGCGAGATTGAGTTGATGTGGTATAGTATTGGGTTCTTAGTTTTACTAGTTGAGTAATGTTATAATAATAATTTCATACTTCAAAATTTTTATGAGATATTTGAATTGTTTGGCGGTTTTTGACAAGAAAAGAATAGAATGTGATTTTAGCTCGTTTGAAGCAAATGGATGAATTGGATTAAAACAAAAATGAGTTATCAAAACTTTTATTTATTTATTATTTTTTCTTGGTTTAATTCGATGGGGTGGATGTTGATAATTGGAAAGTGAATACTCATGTTATATTTTATAATTATAATTAAGAGAAGATTTTGGTATAATTGATTTAAGTGTTAGGATATTCACTTATGCTTATTGAGAATTATGATTGAACTTGAAGATCCCAAGATTTTACTGGCATGAAAAAAATGAAAATTTGATTCTATTAAATGTTTGGGAAGGGGAGGAGTTTTTGGAAAGATTGTAATTACATTTCATTGATGATGTATGTGAGTTAGAAATTGATGAAACCTTGAACTCGTTTTGGTGTCATATGTTATTGATATTGATGAACTTATTGTTTAAAAGTTTTGGTTTTGGTAACCGGTAGAGGATTACCATGTTGGTATTTAAATGAGGAGATCCTTGGAAAGGTAAAAAAATATTTGATTTTGGAAGTTTGGTGATATAAAGAATATTGTTGAATTGTCTTCAAAAGACTAAGTTGGAAGTTGTTGGTTTACATGAGGTACATACATAAACATTGACATTGTTATATTATCTCTTGGAATTGTATCATGATATTACATTGATAGAGATATGAGATTTGATCACAATGGAACATTGTGTGGTGGAATTGAAATTGGAACTATCGTAATGCATTGTTACATATTGCATTGCCATTCCATTTCATTGTTATCATGGATTTTGAATTGTAATTGAAAACTATTGTTTTGAGAAAGGAATTGTTTTTGGGAAATAAGATCATTTGGATTTGTTTTGGGTAAATATGTTGGTAAGTCTGGATAGGGGGTGTAGTTTGATGTTGGTTTAAGTTGGCCTGAGTGTCCATGGTGAAAGACCGAAAACACGTGCGGAGGAGGTACCACTACCCTTCCAGTGAGAGATCGGTAAAGTGGGGATTTGGTAGTGCTTGATATGCCTACTTGCAGACACTAGTCTAGGGATTACCAGAGTCGTATTTACCACCTTGAAATTTTATTGAAATTGTTAGATTAATGTGTTTTTAAATTAGCACGAGATTTTCAAAAGATGAGAAAAATACTTTGAGCATGACATGGCATATGCATTCATCTCATATGACCGTATAAAAATGTATTTAATGCTTTGTTAAATGTCATTATGAATGATTTAGTTATTTGATTCAATTGGCAATGAGATAATTGAACGAATTGGAAAATGATGTCCTATTACTATTGAAGCATGTTTATTTATTTAAGTTAACTAGTTGTAGTTAATTAAATAAATTGGTATGATTTCATGTGTATGTATGAGTACCTTTGTACCCGCATATCTTCTAATGTTTTAATATGAAATTGTTTGGTAAGCTAATGGTTGCTCACCCCCTGCCTGTACATGTGTATAGGGAATGCATTTCAGATTTGAAGATCAAACAATGGGTTTTACTATTTTATAAGTGCAATGTAGTGATGGATTGTACTACTTCATTTGTTTGTTTGGCTAAGTGCTATTATTTTGTAAAGGGTAGTGTCCTCTATTTTATTGTAAGTCTCAGGGCATTTCTTTTATTCATATGTAAATGTCTTTATTGTATCACGAGAGGGAACATGTATATTCAATTATTTATCATTTCATCAAAGGATGAATTGTCATTTGTAAATGAACTTAAGTAATGAATATTGGTAATGTTATCGGAGTAATAAAATTTCGGGCACGACAGTAGGGGTCTCTCTCTAATCTCTAGAACACAATACACACAACACCTTTCATTTCTTCATCTTCTTTCTTTGATTCAAGTTGCTAACTTTATCATCGGAGTGTCTCCGGCCGGCAACCCCGGTTGGGTGATGCCGACTATGTTCATCTTTACAGATCTATAAGGGTCAAGCTCATCTCTTCGTTGGCTTCCTTGAGGCTAGGTCTGAGCTTGGCTTTCTTCCCACTGGGTTTACAAAAATTAAAAATAAAGGTTAACAATGGTGAACTTAACAAAATGTATAAAAAAAATGAATTAGTTGAATGCAACTCACAGGATCTTTCAAGTATGTGAATTGGCCTTTTACTTTGCATGTCCTCCTATTGTGTCCCAACTTACCACAATTCTTGCATGTAATATGATTTGCCCTCATTCGTAGCTTAGTTGAATCAATTGTGTCAATTGGTACATTAGTGTCCTTTCTCTTATTCAGTTTTGGCCTCCCAACTCTTTTTTTTACATCAGGTGGTAGCACTTTAGCATATTCAGTTGTTAGCCACATTTGTCTACCATTGATTGGACTTAACATGTTCTCATATATTCTCAAGTAAGTTTCCACTTTATAGTACTGATGCATAAACTTCTAGTTCTTCACCATATAGTTTGCAGTAGCAACAGCAACAACATGGGTACAAGGAATGCTTGACAGATCCCATTTCTTACATCCACAAGTCCACTCTTTCAGGTCCACCTTATGTTGCTCACTATATGGGCCAATAACTTCAAATTGGAAACCCCATTCCATCTTGGAATCCAACCAGCTGCACTCTTCTCTACCTTTTCCAAAATATGTTGAATCTTAGGATATATAGGACCTTTGTTGTACCTCTTCATTGCTTCATTTCTCTTTTGAACTGTTTCTATCAACAAAACTCTTATCTTCTCCAACATGGTGACCACATGTTTATCCCTAGCGTGCAATATGCTTGAATTGAAACATTCACACAGATTATTCAACAAAACATCACACTTAGGAAAACTGCTGAAACGACTCCTACTCTAATGGATTGGTGATCCTTTAGCCAACCAATTGTATGTTGCACAATCAACTCCTTTGACTTTTTGCATGACTTTGGTGAATGCAACAACAGTGCTTTCCCTAGCAGCCTTTCATAACAAATCTTTCAATACCCTGCCCTTATGTTCACCCTTGAAATTATTGTACAAATGCCTTACACAGAACCTTTGTGAGGCATTTGGAAACAACTTAGCCACTACATCAATTAGGCCCTTTTGCTTGTCACTCATGAAAGTGTAACAATAGGAATTCACAATGTTGATATCTTATCCTAACAAATCCAAAAACCATAACCATGTTTTCTTCTTCTCCTTCTCAACAATGACATAAGCAAATGGAGCCTACAAGCATTCTAGAAACTAATCTTCAATGGACCCCAACACAAATACAATCTCTTAAACTTGGACACTTGCTTATCCCCTTCATCAACTTTTGGAACTTCTTTCACCTTCATGTATATTGTTGTTCCAAGATTAGTACTTCTAATCTCTTTTACAAAACCCCAAAGCATTGCAAATTGTTCAGTTGCAGTACTCTCAATCATTGTCAAAGCCTTTCTTTTTGCCCTCGTCACTTCCTGCACGTCAACTTGCACATTGTGCTCTATTGCAATGGTGTCTATCAATGACTTAATTGGCCAAGTGGGGTCAAACCAAATCCTTTCCCAATACCTCTTATTCTATCTACTACTCACATGTGGCACATCAAATGTTCTATTGCATGTGTGTTCATCTACAAAGGTTTTGATCCTATACACCCCTTCACTTACAAAAGAAGCATAGCAAACCCAAGGACAACCACTTTTGCACTCTGCCCTAACCCTCTGTTTGTCACTCTTAGTACATGTGATTTATTTGCTCTACTTAATAGCATATTCCTTTATATCTTCCCTAAATAGAGCATGTGTCTTGGACTCTATACCAAGTTGGAATGTAGGATTGTGTATGTCAATCTCACTAAAAATAGGGTATTTAATCCTCTTGCAATTACTATCTTCATCAGAGGAGCTATCAAGGCTTCTTAGCTCATCAGATGAGTTGTCTATGCTTTGAAGGACATCATTGTCATCTACATCACCCACGACATCCTTACTACTTCTTAAACCACCAAATTTCATATCTTTGTCAACATGTTTATAGCGACCCCGGTCTTTTCCCATTTGATTATTGTATCCGGACTTAGGTTCCGTAGATTCTGTCATTGTATAATTGGTGTTGTTGTCCTTTATTTTCTCTTTTGGAATTATAGGATGTGTTGGGCAGGTTTGTTTCAGGTTGGTTGGGTTTAGAAACCAAGAGTTGCTGTCCAGGTTTTTGGTTCTTCGCTCGAGCGAGGAGTTATTCGCTCGAGCGAGAGGTAGTGTTTGATTTGGACCTGTAGCTGTGCATTCTTGGCTCGAGCGAGCTTTTCTTCGCTCGAGCGAGTTAGTTCATCCCGGCTGAACAACCGGGTTCGACCCGTTCCTGGGCTTCCAGTCGATGAAAAGCTGGTTATCCGAACCGGTGGACCGGTAAAAGCTGACAATGTCACCGGCTTTCAAGCTCTTCTCTTTCACGAACCGGCTCCACCCTTTGGTCAGCACATAGCTCTGGCTACTATTCCAATACGAGTATCGAAAGCGCCACACTTTCCCGGCGACATCCTTGAAATTCAACAACACGCCTTTCGAAGTGGTTTCGCTCTGCAGAGGAAAGTGCTTCTCGGCGTGTTGTTTCGGTATCACCAGCCTGTTTAGCTTCCCCACGTCACTAGGCGTGACGGCTTTTTCAAACAGCTGTTCAGTTGCTTTGACGTTGTTTTTATAATTAGTAGTGGACTTTTCATTACAACACGCTTTTTTGTTACCATTGTTGTTTATGAAGCCGCCGATGTAGTTTTTTCGGCTCTGCTCGAGCTCATCGTTGTACGTGTGTATTACAGACTATTAAAATTAAAAAATTTTAAAATTCAATTTATGATATCAAAGTGTGTGTTGACACCTTATTTTTACCAATTTTAAGAAAATAATAAATAAATAAAAATATTCACCTTGTTTGGTTTAAATTTTCTTAATTCAATTTTTTTAAAATTGAATCTTTTATTTTTATTTTTTGTGTTATTTAATTTTTAGTTAATTTTTTAAATATTTTAAACAATTTTTTTTAAAATTTTTTTGGATACACTTAATATAAATACTATTAAAAAGTATAATATTTGTAAAAAAAAATTTAAGAATTCACTAAATACCAAAAATATATTTAAAAAAATGAAAATTTAATATATTTTCGTATTGTTGTGTATTTATTGATTTTTATTTAAATGTTTTACCTTTTAGGTAGATCTAGGTTAGGTATATCTAATTGGAAGAATGTGATTATGATATATATATAATTCACTGTTGTAAGTTTGGCCAGGTTCTGAGCCATGTTGATAAAATTGGAAAGTAAAACGTGTGTTAGACAATAGTGTCATGAGACTGTAAGATGAAGTAATTGATTATCTTGGTTAACCATTTGTTGAATGCTATTGCTTTATTCATTGCTTATATGTGGTTTAGTATATTTCTACTGGGTTGTGGCTCACCCTTTATGGGAACATCATTTTTAGGTTCAGGTGATAAACTACCTCCAAGGACTTAGCTTGGGAGGGTTTGGCTTCTGGATTTTGAAGAAGACTATCTTTAGTTAATTGTCTTTATTTATTAGTACATGTAAACATTCAAGCCTAGGGCTTTTCTTGTATTGAGTTAGAACTCATATTTTTGTATCCAAGTGTTGGCTTGGAAAGATGTAAGCCTGTAGGGCATTTTATTCGATGATACATGTAATGCTTTATTTTGTAGTACTCTGATGAATGAATTGATAGATTGTCTTCTTTAAATAATGAATGTCAATGATATATATAATAGGTTAATTTTGAGGGCGTTACAATGTTTATCATATAAAGCATCATCATCACCTTGCTCATAGTCATTGTCATTATATTTTTCAGACTCGTTAGAGGATGAGTTTGACTAATTAGGATCATAGGTATCATTATCTTCCTCTTCTTCCACTTGAACATCAACAACTACCCATTTACCTGTACTTCTTTCTACACTTGACCCTACTTGACTCGTGTGTACTTACATTATCATCCAAATTGTGCCCTATGTAAACATCTATCACTCTATTTTCATCCACATATGTTCCCAACATCAATACATCAACGTCAGATTTTAGCAACTCCAAGCCACTATAACCACTAACCTTACTATAATAGTTATTACTTGGCCTATATCTTAATTCCTTGGCCATGTAATATAACTTTGTAGTGGAAATTTGATCTGAATGACAAAAGTCAAAATAATTTACCATACCACCACTGTAAACCCTACGTGGAATATACCTAACCACATCCCCATGATGCATTTTGATTGTAAAATATCCAGATCCTTCCTCTGCATTTTTCAATGGAAATTACTATTAAACTACACTGAACCTACAGAGATATTTAACTATTCAATGGAACTCACAGTGATAAAGTGCTATTAAGTTACATTAGAAATTAAAAAAATAAAAAAGAAAAAAGAATAAACAAGTAGTCATCCACGTGAAATAGAAACAACTAAAAAAACAAAGATTTAATGTGTTCATCAATTTCAAACCGAAAGAAAGGAACAAAGATTTTCTTAAAGTAAAACATTTAAACCGAAACAAACATGAACAAAATTCATTAAAAATTCATGTCACATAGAAACAAACAAAGATTTCACCCTAAAAAAAAATAATTTTAACATCAACACATGCGATTTTCAACAAGAATAAAAAAAAAAAAAAAAAAAAAAAAAAAAAAAAAAAAAAAAACAGAAAAAAAAATAATTCATACCATATACAGGTGTTCCACTTCCTCCACCATTATTCTTCTCTCTTAGTCCCTAACCCATCGTTCAACCTTGATTGCAATGTGATTTTGCAATCGTTGTTGACTCTTAACTTTGATTTCAAAATTTTGATAGCAAATTGAAAACCCTAATTACGATTTGGCACGTTCTAAGCAAACTTAGTGTATCTAATTGATTGTGGTCAGCCAAACTGTTATATATTCCCTCAATTCAAAAGTTTAGGGGGTCATGTCACCCATTCCGTCTTCCTTAAAAATAGATGACATGGGTGAAATTGATAGGAATTTAAATAATCTGGTGTAAAATTTAAAATAGCCAAAGTATGGGGGTGTAATTGATTATCGAGGCAAAGTATAGGGGTAAAAATAAAATTTTCTCAAAAAAAACTTTTAAATAATATACTTTGCAAAAAAATAATTAAAATATATAAAAATCCACATTTAGAATTGTCTCTTTAAGTCTCAAACGATCTCGAGTCGATCTTGGAGAAACTAATTGAGCCAAAAATTCCTTGGCTACTCTATGTATATGTGCACGTGCAACTATAGCTAGCTTATTCTCCAAATTAATTTCAATAAAATTGATCGACTAATGGTAATTTCAAAATTGAGTGGGTAAAAATTTAATGAGTTAATTACCTAAAGTCCTTTTTACAAATATTATGGTAGCTCAAGTCCTATCTAAGATTTTTCGAACCAATAAGTCCTATTTTGTAAACTGAGAATATTATCAGTTTTTCCCAATTTTTAAAACTACGTACATTATTAATTTTGCATAGTAATGTTTCAGATAATTATTTCATTAACTGATGAAAAAAAATAGAGCATGAGATTAAAGTTTTCTGTCCTTCTACTTATTGGTTTGATTTAACTATCCAACAAAATCGAGAACATTATCAGTTTTTTTTCAGTTTTAAAACTAAGAACATTATCAATTTTTTCATTTTTAAAGGTTTTTTTTTTTCTTTTTCAGTTTTGCACATCAATGTTTCATCATCATGCTCCTTTATAGATACAAAATTTTCAGTTTTGCACAAAAAAATAATTCAATTTTTTCAATTTAAAAAAAAAAATTTTTGAAAGTTGATGTTTTAAAGCTTTGAAAATCAAAATAAATGTCAAATGATCATGTTCATAGATAATTATAAATGATGAACAATCATTGTTTGAAGGGAAAATCCGATTATTAAAAATTTAATGGGACTTGAAGGTCCAAGAAATCTTAGTTAGGACTTAATAGAGTATAAGTTCATAACTTAAGACTTACGTGTAAATGTCCCAAATTTAAAACACACGTATTATGAGAGTAACATCTTTTTTTGACATTTGAAAAATTATATTGAACGATAAAAATGAATATATCGAGATTTGCCTACAAAATTGAGATTAGTGCTTACTCAGCCGTATCATCGATTGAACAACAATTTAACACAAAAGTTAGCAATTGCTCTCTAAATAATACTCAACAGGACTAATGCTCATATATTTTTTTATTTAAGATTTATTTTTCTCACTTTTTTAGATGAAAATTTATTATTATTATTTTTTTCCATAGTAGGGGTCTAATTGATTTTTTATGAATTGCTGAGGGGAAAAATGATATTTTAATAAAATTTGGTGCCATATCAGCAAGTGTCATCTAATTATATATAGTAGCTGACGACAGAGGTGAAATTGATCCAAAATTGAATAGTTTAGGTGTAAAATTTATATAATTGAAAATATATGGGTTGAATTGATTTTCAAGTGATAATTTAGGAGACAAAATGACATTTCCTCAATTCAACTCATATTCTTTTGATAACATCAATTTTATATCTAAACTATTTGATTTTGCATCAATTTTACCCTCACCATTAATTGTCTCCTATAATCAAACAGAAGTTGTTAATGTGGCATCTAACCTTCATCTGAAATTTCATTTTAGGGTAAATTATGCAAATGTCCATGTAGTTTACACGATGTGTCAATTTGGTCCTTATTGTTTTAATTTGCTTAATTTTGCCCCTTAATTTAACGGATTGTGTTATATTGGTCCAATAAATAACGGTTGTTAGGTACGGTTACTGCCAGAAACTAGAGTTGAAGAACAAGAGCACCCCACAACACTAGGGTAAATTGCACTTTGTACCCCTACATTTTGCACCAAATTCTATTTTAGTTCACTACAACATATCAGAGTTTTAGAGACAAAATATTTTGGTCTCTAAAAGTGAAAATTTTGTTGCGAAAGACATTTAGGGACTAATTTCTATCATCATGAAAATAGTCGCTAAAAGGTAGTCACGAAAAGTCAAAAACAAGGCTTTTAGCGACAAAATTTTGAAAATGTCACTAATAAATAGACTTTTAGGGACAAAATAATTTGGTCTCAAAATGGTTTATTTTTTGAGACAAAAAATTTGGTCTCAAAAAGATAATAATTCATCACTAATGTCCAATTTTCGTTGCTAAAAATATACTGACGACACTTTTCACAACAAAAATATTTAGTCCCTAAAAAATAATTTTGTCCCTAAATTTTGGTCTCTAAAACCTTAATTTTTTGTACTGGTTCCTACACATGAAATTGTGACAATCAATCCCTTACACTTCTAGTCAAATCCTATTTTAGTCCTTACACTTGAAATCGTTGTTAGGTCCCTTAGTCTTGTCAAATCCATGAACAAACCTTGAGGCATTGAGTTGTAATTTCCTTACTGTTTTGTCTTGCTTGCTCGAGCGAAGAAGTCCTCACTCGAGCGAAGACTGCGTCTGGCAAAAAAGCGCAGGATGCGTGGCTCGAGCGAAGCCACTTATGGAAATCACGCGAGATAAGTTCCTCGCTCAAGCGAGAGAAGCTTCCCTCGAGCGAGCTTCATTGTTCTAGATTTCTATAAGTATCTGTTTTAATCCTAAACTAGGAATAGGTTTTTTAGATCTACTTTGAGGTTTTCTAAGGTTTTCTTTTGGAGTATTTTTGTGAGTTTTCCTTGATAATTTGAATGAGTATTAAACTCATGAATTGACAAGCACAGATCAAGGAGGTTGATTGATTACATACAAGAGTAGTCTTCTTCAGTGGATTTCGAAGATTCAAACGTGGAGTTTCAAAGGAGTTTGATTCTGTACGTAGTCGTTGATTCGACAAATGAAGTTGTGGATTCAACTTCAGATTAATCAGTTCTGAGACGAAGGCTTGGTGAAAGAGTTACAGAAGGTTTTAAGACAAATTGGATGAGTTGGGTAATTTGTTTGTTATCTTTGTAATCTTTCTTTCTTCAGTAGTGGATTGATTAGTGGCGTTTCGCCCGTGGTTTTTTATTACAATTGAAGGTTCTTCAATTGTGATTTTTCCACGTAAAAATTGTTTGTGTCGATTTATTGTTTATTTCGAAAACAACAATCTAAATCACTTTCGTAAGTGTTTGATGATTTAGATTGTGTGTTTTGAATGATTGGGAATTGAAATATTTTAATCTTGATCTAATCACGAATCACTTAGGATTTTCAATTGGTATCAGAGCAGGTCACTCTTTGTTTATATCAAAACTATAAGAGTGTGATTTTGTGTGACTAGTGATATGGATTCAATTCGTGAAGGTAACTCGACCCATAGGCCTTCTTTACTCGATGGTACAAACTATTCTTATTGGAAAGCTCGTATGAGAGCGTTTTTAAAATCCATCGATGAGAAAGTTTGGCACTGCGTGATCTATGGATGGAGTGAACCTATTGTCACCATTAATGGTATTTGTAGACGTCCCCGAACGCCCCAGGAGGATGAGTCCCGTTCTGTTCATTTTGGGCTCACTACAGTTCAGGACTCTCAAACTGTCACGGTTCCTAATCTGAACCAAAGTGTCCAAATCCGGCAAATTGTTTTAGAAAACAGATTTTTAGAAAAGAAGTGCCAAACATGGACTGCTTTGCCAGATACAGAGTCGCCACCTAAATATTTTATTTTGGGAAATTTAGGAAACCCTGACTCGGTGCCAAAGGCCAGGTGTCCGTCATCACCAAAGTTGCCTCAGCTCGGGAACTTGGGTACGATTGGGGAAGGTCAGCTATGAGCACCCCCTCTCGCCCGATCAAAGATCGGACTCTACTAACCGTGATATCTTGTTTTGAAAGCATTATGTGTTCCTATTCCGGTTATTAGCCTAGAATTATTATGTTATGCGCATAGCAAACAAGTATAGACCAAATCGCCTAATTTGGAATAAAACATTGCATGTTTGTTTTGAAAATGGTTTGCTACTCGCAAGTAGGCTAAAATGTAGGTTTTTCCACCCTCAAGTGGGCTTTAGAAAAGATGGTTTTGCCACTATCTAGTAGGCTTAAAACTCACAGTTTTAATGCATTATTCCAATTTAGGTAATTCAACCTCCACCCACAAGCATTCAAGCAGTTATATCACATAAGCAGCTAGCCT